TATAGCAGAGGCTTTCCCTTCACATACCTTTTGCTTGCCTCTCCAGTGAAGAGGGAAGGAGAACCTTGCCATGGGCAGCAGTTTTTCTGGCTCCCAATTCGGCTGTGCAGCTCTTATCAGCCCCAGAAGAAAGAGAAAAAAACCTTAGTGAAGTTGTTCTTATATACCTGGTGCAACATCACCTAAGCCTTGACCAATTAGAGAGGGCCATGCTCCAGCCTTTCTCTTACTCAATCTGCCTGGAGAATCTTCTGCTTCCTTTGGCCATTGAGGCCAATGGATTTTACGGATTTTGTCCACATACAGGCCCCAGCTTTCCATGTGCAGAGCACATGGCCAAAACAGCAGAGGCCATCTTGCCCATATAAAACACACACACAAAAAAACGCCCCCATGATGCATAACAACCAAAAGCACACACTTTATCATACACAAGTGTGTATGGGTGTTACATGAGTATGCTCAAAAGGACTAAATCAGCCACACAGGAGAAAATACTGGACTTAAAATCCATATAAGAAGAAAAAAATGCCTCCTATGTAACTATATTTAGATGCATAACGAGCACTTAGACCCAGTGGAAAAAATAGGCTGTTCTGTCCTGTCCCATTATGTACTGGTCTCAAACAGAACAGAGGATGGAGTCTTTGGAGCCCTTCACTTACTTAAGTTGTTCCAAAATCCTGGTCTGGAATCTGGAGGGAATAATCCAGTTTACACTTTCCCACTATCTTGAAATATGACTAATATAGGCGATATGGCCCTTGAAGCACTGCAAAGCCTGTCTCCCAAACAAATTGCCCACCCAACAGCCCATGCGTGATGTTTTTTTACTGTGGCAGAAGAAATAGAATGAAAGAAAACAGATCTGGAGGAGACTTCAAGAAGGCATTAGTACAACCCTTGGTTCAAGGCAGAATCATCCCTGTCTAATCCGTCCCAGACAAATGGCTGTCTAACCCGACCTTTAAAATTTCTAGTGGCAGAGATTCCACAGTCTCTCTAGGTAATCTGTTTTCAGGGCTTAGCCATAAAGTCATAAAGTTCTTCCTACTATTTCCATATATCTTCCTCACAACAATCTAAAGCTAGCAATCTACTAGCTCAGTGTTTCTCAACCCATGGGTCAAAACCCAAATGTCGGTCTCAAGAATATATGAAAGGGTCGTGAACAAACTTTAAAAATGGGTTAACAAACTTTAAAACTGGAATCTCCTTTAGAGGAGAAAAACATAGGAAAATGTGGCTTTTCCTTTGTAGGCTAGCAGAATTCCAGCCTGCAAGGGGCTGCTTGGGGCCCCCCATGCTGCTCCCCTTGCCCCAACCCTCCTTTGTATTGCTCATGGGCATTGTTAGATTTCTTTTGGGGGCAGAAATGGAAAGTGTAACATGAATAATCAAATATCTGTGTTTTATGTGATTATGCCCCACACACAGGGAGTCTGGGATGGGAGGGGGCACAGTGGGTCAGAAGTGAGTGGCATTGGGTCAGGACTGGCCAATAATTTTTACAAATGGGTCCTGGTACAAAAAAATGTTGACAACAGCTGTAGTAGATTGTCCTCTTGTTTGTTTACTGCTTGTCATTTTGCTTGTAAAAAGAGAACAATTAACCATTCACTTTCAACACCTTTTTTCTATTTGAAGGCTATTACCAAATACCCGCTCAATCTTTTTTTTCATTAGACTAAATAATCCCAGTTCTTCCAGGCTTTCCTCATATGTCATGTTTTCTAGACCCCTAATCTCTTTTCTGCATGCGTGCTAATTTGTACATATCTCTGAATACATTGTTGTGTTCAAAACTGATAACATTACTCCAGGTGGGGTTTACCAATGGTGAGTTGAGTGAAAGAAACACTTCCCACAACTTTAATATGACATTCCTGTTTAATACATCCCAATATCCCACTAGCTACTTTTGTAACAACAGAACACTTTTGACTCATATTCAGCTTGTGATTCACTATAACCCACAGGTACTTTTTCACAGTCAAGCTTGTGAATCTATTTTTAAAAAAGCTATGTTGTGCCTTGTGACCAGAGCTGGAGAGATTATTTAACTAAGCCTCTTAGCACTCTCTTACCCAAGAGATGGGGGGTAGGGAGGAGGCAGAAGGTTGTAAGCAGTCACACTCATTCTAATTATACACATACTGAATAACAGGGACTGTGCTTTGCAGAAAGAAATGTGGCCTGCAGATGAAGGAGATTTAACCATCTTTTATTGGATGAACTGCATGGTTGTGATAGACCTAGAAGCTTGTCTAGGTCTATCTCAACCAAGCAGTTGGTCCAATAAAAGATATCACCGAAACAAATTTTTCTCTCTTGCATATTTCCTGGACCTCAAGCTACAGCATCACTTCAACATTAACCATGCAATAATTTTACTCTGTTATTCTCTTTTTATAGGGGGCAAATGCTAAATTCAACCTCCGACTTGTTGGACCTGGTGGCATATTCAGAGTCGTTCCCCAAACTGTCCTGAATGAAGCTCAAGTTACTATAATAGTGGAAAACTCTGCAACCATAGACTATGAGCAGTTTCAGGTGTTATCCTTTAAGGTATTGGAGCTTATCTTTTCCTCTCTAATTAGAAGTCTTATACAATTAATGGATTTTATTTTATTCTCATTTCTCCTCAAGCCATCTGAATTAGTGCTACAGTGTTGTATTCTTTGTAAATGATGTTCACCAAACTACATACTTCCTTCAGTTCAGTTACTTGCAGATATAAGGTTGTAATTGAGGATTAAATTTAATCCATTTAATGTAAGGCTTTCTGACCACTACACTTAGAAATTTTATATTGTGATGGCTTTAAAACACTCTAGACTGTGCAGGTCTAGGGGATTATTTCACTGATGTCAGTTGACCTACCAGATGAAATCCTGGCACAACTCATTTCAGTGGACCTAAGACTCCAGCTATTTAGACAGAATGAATTGTAAAAAATAACTTGTCAAAGTTTCAGTGTAGTGTTTTTTACTCTAGTGTAGTGTTAGTATAGGCTAAATTTTGTTGTATACATAGGCATTATTATGATTGTTGCCCTTTGGGGTCAGGCCAACTCTCAGGATCTCAATATCGCTCTGTTAGACAGGAGGGTGTGACACAATTGCACATACACACACACTACCAGCTCAGGCACATACACATCCAAACCAGGGTAAGCACATGCATACCTGTCACCAATTCAAGCACATACACTATACACCCCAAAAGTTAGACACAGACCACTAATTCATATATCATGCACACAATGACATACACACACACTCACCAGTTCACGCACATACAACCCACCTACACATACACACAGGTAAGTTCCTAACTTGGATGGTACAGTGTGTATGTGTGTGCTTGGGGTACCTGAGATACTTGGGGGAAGGTTCGGGTGAGAGAGAGAGATGGTTAAAGTGTAGGGAGTGAAAGTTGCCAGAACCGAGATTAGAACCGGTGGACTAGAGAGAAGCTGGCTGAGGAACTGAGGCTTGGGTTTACTTAAGGTAGACTGGGGCTGGAAACTGAGGCAGAGAGCTGAGATATTGGGGGGGGATGGGGGGGGACAGATAAGTGGTGGCAAGGAGGAGACAGCCAGGAAAGAAACTGAGGCAGAAACCTGGTTGCTCAGGGGAAAAGGAAAAGGCAGTGGGAATAAGACAGTGGCAAAGAAACAGGGGGTTTGGAGGCAGAGAGAAGCTCAGGACAGATGTTGGAGGTGGCAGTGAGCCAGAATCAGAAGAGGGAGAAATGAGACAGAAGTTAGAGGAGCAGAAATTGGAGCAGGGCCAAACCATAGTAAAGCAAAACCCAACTTAGGGGTCCAAATAACAGTTTTATTAAACAGACAACACACTACACAGCCCCATGAAGTTATTGGTACACACACACACACACACACACACACACACACACACACAATGGCAGCAGGAGAAAGAGACTCAGTGGAAGGGCTGGACTCCAGGTAGGGAAGAGAAGCAGAGTCTAAGTCCTTGGTTGAAGAGGGAGTGGGGGGTGATAGCTACCTATCCAGGCTGGAAAGGGGTCCTTGTCCAGTAGGTGTTGTCCAGAGGCGGGTTGCCAGCAGGGCCTCTGGGTGGATAGGTGGTGTGGCATGGTGCTGATCCAGATGGAGAGGGCATCCCACTGGGTCTGTCTTCACTGCCCCTTTTTATAGGGGCAGACCTTGCGTGACCCTAGTGACAGGAGGCATGCCCAGGCAAGGGTCAGCCCCTGACATACTGAGCATGTGTGCTCCATGCAGAGATGTGCAGTTTCAGGTGTCTGTAATGGTGGGGTACAATGGTAGAGTTGCTGGTTCTGCAGGGTCTTTTGTCTTTCAAATATTGGGTTCTTGTCTCTGTTCCTGGGTGAGGTCCGTGGTTCCTGGATAAATCAATGCAAGGTGATGGCCTGGCCGTTACAGGCCATTCAGTAGAGGCCTGCTACCATTGTATTTCAATCATTCCCAATCACTCTCATTCATCCAGGAACCAAGTTACGTGGGAGGGGTACATGAATCATACAGTTGCAACACAGGGGATGCCCAGGTAGAGGACACAAGATGGAGGCTTGTCATACAAAATGGAAACTTGAGATGACTTACATTAACTTACATATATAGGCCTAAAACATTAACCACGCAATATAAAAGCAGTACAAATTTAATAATTATCACTTATAAAACAGTGGGTATCGATATCAAAATATCAGGGAACTTATTTGCAAACAAGGGAGAGAAAAATAAAACTGACTACCTAAAATAAAATGTTAAAGCTTATCCTACATCTTAGCTTACTTATACTTATCTATAGGGAATGGAGAGGGAGAGGAAAAATCAGAAATGGTTTGGGAAGGGGAGGGAAAACATTTTAAAATAAATTTTTTAAAAACTGGGGGTTTTGCTACACGATGATTCCAGGAGAAATCCAAGAGTCAGATTTACTGTGTTCTTTTCTCCCCTTTGCCAAGGGTTTGCCACATGATTTAACAAAGTTCACTATAACATGCCTTCATTTCACCATTTTTGTTTGTAAAGTACCTTGAACTCCTCAGATTACATGTGCTATAGAAACTCTGTATATTCTTATTGAATTACAGTGAGGTCAGGAGAGGTTATAAAGTATTACCCAAATTAATTATAAGTGCACATTTATTCATGCTAAATTACCAGAAGACCACTAAAGAAGTTACACATGGCAACCTCATGAATACTAATCAAATTCAAAGCAGTTAATTTTATTGCAGTGAATAGCAAAAGAATTAATTACAAATGAAAAGAATATATTTCTTTTGCTTAAGAGACCAATAATTTTATTTGGATAATTTTTTCCCAAAAGTTTAAAGATAAACTGGAAGGTTTTCCTAAAGACGAATTCCAAATCTGAATTAGGAAGGGGAGGAAGGGTAGAAATCAGCAAGGTTTAAAGTAACTCCACTAAAATACATTTTAATAAAATGTCATTCTCTCTTTCTTTTACCTGGGAAATTCAATCAACTTGCCACTTATTTTTATGTGCTATAGCTAATTATTTTGGTAGAAATCAGAATTTTTAATGTTTAACATCTACTCCATAACAATTTTCATGGCCTGTTATATCTTCCCCTGAGGAATTATTAACTCCTTCCCTGCTGGTTTACCATTATCCATTAACATTCCAGAGAGTAAGGTAAAGCCATCCAACCAGAGTGTATTTCAAAGACTTAGCAGAGCCAATGGCTACTGCCTTGCCCAAAAGTATGTGCCTTCCAGTTATGAAAATGGTTCATCCTCTTGGGTATTTATTAGATCCTAGATACCCCGTTAATAGAATTAAACATTTTTCACTTCCAGGGTATAAACTGTCACATTTCTCCTGGGAGAAAGTCTTTTGTTCCAGAATACTAAAGACTTATCAGATCTTTATCCCACTTCAAGTACCTGTGACGAATGTGAGATAAAATGTGCTAAAGGTGTCCCCTCCGCCTCCCAACAGTTCTGTGTATGTCTGTGGCTAGTGGCTCATTCAAGGTAATCCAATCAATCCAGGGGCAATCCTGTCAGGCTATGTGCTCTCCCTAGCCACTGAACAGCAGTGCATCTTAGAAAGCTACTTGCTTGCCACTGCTACTCCTCTTTTGTCTTTGGTTTTGACTCTGATTATTTGGGACCACCTGAAATGAGACGCCTGTTTACAGCTTCAGTGACTAGAAAATTGAGCCCATTCTTCTAAGCATGGAGTTTGCGGTAATTCATATTTTTGGCACCTCAAGCCCAGACCATTGTAACCTAAAAATAACTGGGTTATCCTACAAAGTGTCTCTGTGCATCTGGTGCAGCATGCACCTGTCTGTCTTTTCAGAAGATCTGAATAATGAGAACATATAGTTCCACACTGGAGGAACTGTACATTCAACATGGTATTCAAGGTGCTGGTCACTAAGAATGCCCTTATTACTTAGTCCCTGCACAGACTTTCACTTCCTTTAACCTTCGCTATGACTATATGCATCAGGAATGGCTCAGCTAGGGTAAAGCTCAAGGGAGCTTTAGTCTGGGAGTTCACATTAATGAAACCTCTGGAATTTTCAGTCCAATAGATAGGAATCTCAGCCTGGCTGTGTTTGTGAACTTGCATACAATGTGTTTCTGCTTCCAGGTTTCCCACTGGCACCAGCCTCTGGAGGCCCCAAGTATTTGGTCTGTTAGTGCTGTTTGTTATCTTGAGCCCTTCCAAGGAAATGACATCAGCTGCTATAGGTGACTGCTAAGCACTGGAGCTGATCAAGTAACCTTGCAGTGAACAATTGGACAAATTTGCAGTCTATCTGTATGAAAAATATTCACCAGCTGCTTCCAGCAGTTTTATTCATTGCTCTAAATAATTCAATGATTACATTTTTATAGTATTTTTTTTAATGTTACGAGTTGATCAGGAGCAGCTCTTTGTAGGTATTTGATTTTCAATAGGTGTCTCAGCTGTGTTTTGATTGGTTATATCAGTCATATACTTCCTCTGTTAGTAATGATACTTACAGACTGTAAATATGGTTTCTATTGCAGACAAATTTGAAATCTGGTTTCTGTGAGAACCAAGTTGATTTTTTGATAGAGGCAATCAAAATATTCAAAAACTTATTTAAAGTGGTTCTCTTTTAAGCTGCTTATTCATTTAAAATTTGAGTCTGATCTTAGCATGATTTATTCATTTACCAAAATTGCATGCTCCCTGTTCTGTTCTAAATGGGGTAAAGTGCACCTGCATAGAGTATTGATGAATGTTTTCCAAGTACCAATGTTAAATTCCAATTTTATTTTCTTAGCTTCTTGCTATAGAGGTGAACACTCCCGAGAAGTTCAGCTCAACAGCGGATATAGTGATACGTCTGTTGGACACCAATGACAATGTCCCAAAGTTCTCATCTGACTATTATATTGCCAGGATCCCTGAGAATTCCCCAGGAGGTTCCAATGTAGTGGCTGTAACCGTAAGTTATTTTAAATGCATTAAAGATGTATCAGACCCTGCTGACTATCAGAATAACTAACCAATATATCTGGCACTTTAACGAAGAATCTTGGAAAGGCAGGTGTTCAAACCCTATCAACGAAATCTCTTGTGAGCAAAACAAAACATTTTCCTTAGTCATATTTTGTCCAATGACTGGACCCAATACCAATTCCTTCCAATAATCTTTGGAAAACCTTTATTTATTTATTTATTTTGAGAAAATGGAGGGGTCTTTCTCTTCTGGAAACAGAAGAGACTGGTTATTTAAGGAGCTAGCACAAAATCAGAAGTCCCTCCAGACAGTACTCAGATCCTCTGGGCTCCTTTTTCAAATAAGGTAAAAATGCAATAAAAAGCAAACAAAATAACATAGAGTTGCAGCAGTTCTTTAGGAAATACTCTTCTCCTCTCTGCTCAGAGTCTGCCCCTTTTCTTACTTCAATATCTTGCTATGAAAATTTAGAGCTATTTTCCTGCCCACTCCATGGAGAAATTCTCCTGCCTCCTACCCTCTCATCAAACGCAGGCATGTTTCTTATGGAACACATCCCTTCCATATAGAAGCAGCCCATTGGGAATGAGCCTGACCACTGCTATACCTTACAGAGGCCCAGTTATAGATCTAATCCTGAAGTGTGCCAATCATTCTCAGTATCCACTGAAGCTTTTAGAACCAAGGATTTTTAGCATCTTGAAAGATCAGGAAAGCAGCCAGAGTGAGCTCTTATCACTGCCAATATCCTCTTACTATCTTTATTCTATCCCACTAAAGGCAAAGTCTTCAGCACAAGTAGGACCCAGCCCTATGTTGAGAGGGGGCATAGGCTGACTCCTCTGTTGTATAAAACAACACGCGAGAGAAAAACTACTCCTGCAAACTTGTGCATCTTGAGATCAAGACAGAATGGACACACAGCATTTACCATATTTCAGGAGTTTTCAACATTTTGGATCAGTGTACCCCCAGCAGCTGGATAAGGAGCAGGGGGCATGTGGCGCATGGCTGGGCATGGAGGTCGGGGGTGGCATGTGGCTGAATGTAGAGCAGCAACAGCCACCACGTGCAAGCTTTCCCTGCCCCACCCCCGCATCCAGCCGGATGCATGGTGGCACTCAGTCCCCACCCACCCACACATACCTGCCAGGTCCTTCTCAAGTACCCCTGGGGGTACTCATACCCCTGGTTGACAACCCCTGCCCTATTGTATAGCAGAGGTATATTAAATTCCAGTGTGTGGAAACAAGCAGCCTCTTTTGTTACAGAAATACAAGGGACTCAATAAGGTGCTTGTTATTAGGAATGACTTTATTGCAATCCAGGGTAGGTTTTAGCACTTCTTAGCCACTGAAGAAAAAAGACATCACACATTGGACAAATAAAAAGCTAACTAGCTTCTACATGGATGATTTAGCTATGGCAAAGTGAAGTTGAGTTTGTAAGACAGCTTGATTTGATCAAGGGCAAGGAAAAAAAGAAAAGAAGATGGTTGCTTAGTAAACTTTTAGTCCCACCCTCCAGAAATTGCAGGGGGGGAACCTGACTGCTAATATGCATTATTATACTGCTTAAAGGTAAAACTATAAATAACTCAATAGAACTGGGAAAGATAGATCCCAAAATCTGTATTACCTCTTTATGTTCAGTTATGGGAAGAGATTTTTTATTTATTTTACCAGCACTTCACAGTGTCAGAGTCAGAAAAGCAGGATGTTACACAGGCCCTAGAAACACTGGAGAAATCTTCCAGCTATAAATAATATTAAGCAGCATCCATTTAATACAACAATCAGGATCTGAGTCAGAGGCAGAGGATCTAAGACTGAGTTGGAACATAGATCAGTATGTCACAAAGCTGAGGCACCTCACAGCCACCTGTGAATTTGCAAATGATGGAAGACCACATAGTGCTCAGCAACAGACATGCTGTTGGCAGGGACAGAATGCTAAGTGATCTGCAAGGTAGATTTGGGGCATGCTGCAGAGACAGTGAAATGACAGAAATGGTACTGAAAGAATTAAAAGGAAGGTCCTGGAGATGAAAGCAATAAACAGGAAAAAGCACCCAAAGAAGAGAGACAAGACACTCTACAGGAAACCAGCCATGAGTCAGCATAACAGAGGTTCCAATTTGCTATTACCATGGTAGCAGAAGAAAGAAAAAGTGTCCAGCATCAAGGGGGCCTGCAGAAAATATAAGAAAAGAAGCCATTTTGTAAAAGCAATAAAGAAAGATCCATCTAGTGAAAAGCAAGAAATCATCATATTAGAAGAGTTCATATTCAGTATCAAATATGCTTGAGAGCACTGCCTGACCCAGATTCAGAGACATACCATATCAAAGCAAACTGAGATCATGTGACTGAAAGCAGTTGTTCTAAGACAAAGGCTACATGGGAATTTTTTGGGAATTCTGAGTTTTTCTGGAAGAAATTAGCATACAAAATGAAATTCAGTAAAAAGTACCTGAAGTTATTAATTCTGAGATGTTGAAAACAGTTCACATTAATGTCAAGAACCAGAGGCACATCCCCATAAAGCTACACATATAGTATATTGGTTGTGCAGGAGTTTTGAAAACTGAATATATTGTTAAAGACTATAAAATTAGTAACAATATTTAAGCAAATGAAGTGAAACAGCTAGTTATACATGTAGGCAGGGCACCTGCCTAGTTCAACTAACATTCATATACTGTAGACATCAATGAACAGATACACTAACAGAAAATTCATTATAGAGAACAAAGTAATAGAGGGAGAAATAGAAACAGCTTATTATCACTGAGTCAGCAGCATCTCCCAATCCTCAGAAAAAATTAAAGAATCTGTGTATATGTTCCTTAAAGTCCCTGTTGGGCCAAGAACATTGTGTTAATGTTTAACTAATATCTAGTAAATTTTGTGTGAGAGTTGTTTGGCAGGTTACCACATTAAAGCATTCTTTATTTCTGTGAAATGAAGGATGTTAATAGATGATGTGTTTAAACTCCAAAGAATAGAGCCACCCAGTGGGCATTCCAGATTATATTGCTTGTGATCAAACAGAGTGCTCAGGATGCTGTTTGAAAAAAGTTTTGTTATGAGACTCAGTATTATCAGATACTGTTGAATTTTCTAAACTTCCACATGAAAAATGTTAATGAAATGTTAATTAACATGATAATAAATACTCTTAGAAGGGGGAAAGTCCATTGTGTTTGACCATTGCATTGTTTACATAATACAATTTTCTCCAGGTAAATAAATCAGGACTTTTAAAAATTATTTTCTTAAGGCTACAGACCCAGATTCAGGACTTTGGGGAGAAGTCAAATACTCCATATATGGAACAGGCACTGATCTGTAAGTAAAAAGCTAAGTTTTTAATAAATTAAAAAAGGAAGGTGCTACTTATAAAATGTGAGTGTTAAGACAATAGCTGACGGCTTGGACTAATGCATGTTGAGATTCATTTCCAAGGGGAATTTACCCTGGGCCTTCCATAAGTTGTTTCTATGAAATCATTTTCTCCTCCTACAGAGATTCAAAGTCATTACACACAAGTTTTATGACTCTATAGCAGTTCACCCACAAGTCCCAAAGAGGCAAGAGACTGCTAAAGTAATAGCACACAGAATGTGAGCATTTTATCAATTATAAACACTTGTAATAGGAAGGAGGATTTTTTGTGCTGGTTAATGCAGAAGATCAGCTTTTGTAGAAAAAGTTTCACCTATACTTAGTTGCAAATATGGTACAATTTCAACACTTGGTCAAATGTACAAAAACACCAATGATCAAAGGAAACAAGATCTACTGATTTCTACCGTATTCTCTGAAGTCTAATGCCAATAGCACTTTTAGCACTGGAGGTTGTTAGCATTGGATATTAGAATTGGCATCCAAAACTTGTAGCAGGAGAGCCCAGAAAGGAAAGAAAAATTTACTTGCCTTATGGTTGGGCATAAAAAACACCTCATTGATTTGATCAGGTCTCCCAGGCTGCTTCCCATCTCATTCAGTATCTGGCTGATGCTCTTAGCTATCTCTAATGTCATTGAGGTAAGGATTTTTATGGATGATATCTTTTATAGAACCAACTGTATAGGTGGGAAGGATACAGACAAGTTTTTGTGTGTGGAGTTCCCTTCCTCAGCTCTCAGGAGTTTGTCTCTATCCCTCCCAATGATACAGTTGGTCCAATAAAAGACATCACCCACAAAATTCCTCGCCCCTCTCATTTTTTCTGGATCATCATGGGTACAACAACACCCCAACTCTGCCACCCTGATATCACTGGCCACTCATATCATCCTGCCAAACCACTCAAGGACACTCTGTAACGTATAACTGCAAAGAAGAACTTGCAAATTCTGTTCCTCATTTTACATACAAAACTAATTAGGAAAACCAGGCAAGCCCTAGAATTCCATAGTCTAACTGGGAGATGTCCAAGCTTCTACTGCCAACAGCAGGATACTTATCTGCAGGAGCTTCTAAATCGCACCTTATTTTGAGCTTCTCCACTAATTCTTGGCAAGCTGTTAACTGGGTATACACAAGCAAGCAAAGGTCATATGCTGGCTTCAGACCTGTTAAGATTAAAATGTAACAGCTGGTGCCAGGAAGCTTGCGAAGGCTGCTACCAAAGATGTTTTTTAAAAGTATGTGCAAGTGTATTCTGATTTTCACACTTCTAAAGCTGTAACATTTAAAGTAAGAAATAAGATTTTATTCCCCTTAAGTGTGGAATTTCATTGCTTAGGCAGAATGAGGGAAAGGAAAGTCATCTTGTTAAGGCAGGCAGAAAGCACGGTAAGACTAACTCCTTCAGAGAGGTATAAATTTATAAATTGTCACCATGACCTGCCTTCTATCTGACTTCAGATTAATGTAGCTAACTAGCTCTCTCTACTCATGGTTAAAGCACTAGCTTTTACCTCAAGAAATCCGAATCATTGTTCCAGCTCTGCCACAGACTTCCAGAGTTACCTTGGCTGTATGACTTAGATACAATGATTCAGCTATTTCTATCAGGAGTGTTAAATGAATTAAAAAGTTAGATCAGTATAATTCCTATCATTCTGATATACAGGTGGAGTGTGCCAGAACACCTCTGTCTCATTTCCCGCTGTATGAAAAGGAGTTAATAGCATTCCTTTGTGTTTAATGCCATGAGTTCTTTCTCAACTGAGGTCTGTAGGTACAACTGTAGTATAAACAATGATCATAGATAACAACATCTTTTTTATAATAATGCACAAAAGGATTAATTTTATTTTTCATTAATTACAGAGCACATAAAAGACTTTAATTTTCACAAAACTTATATTTGGTGGCTAAACTGACAGTCCATTAAAAAAGGGCTTTCTGGTATCTTTAAGATAAATTAAGTCTTTTGCCTGTCACTCTTCACCATGCTTCAGTAATTAAAAATGCATAGAATTGAACTTGCCACAGATAATTCTGAATACCTGCTACCTCCTGGTGCCAATTTATGAAACAGTGATTATTTTTTGGAGGAGATAATTACCCTGTGTTTTTGGGGGTGTTAGAGAAGCCATTTCTGTTATCCATTCTGAGACACTAAGAGGCAAATATTATATGCAACACAATTTCCTCAGCTATTCAGAAAGTGTCAATCAGTCTTAATTTATTCAGGACATGATCTAATATACTGTGTTATAAACTGAATGAATATGCAGTTCTCTAATGTTTTAACACAAAGAGATCACTTTGGGAAAAAGCCATCACACTGAGCGTTTCACAAGCACAAAAGCTGCCAACAACAAATGCAACTGAAAGAGCAAAGACAGAAATATTTTTTTTTAAAGAAGTGACAATAATTCTCTGTTTTCAAAACAAAAAGGACAAGCAAAAATATGTAGGGTCATTGCTTAGGGAGCTGTCAGGTTTTAGATCTGTTTTCAAAGTAATGAGGTAGGGGACTCACAACTGTATGCTTTGTAGCCTTGTGTCACTGCCCAGATCTTTAAAAACCTTACCTGTAGTAAACCATATCTGTATGGTGGCTCCTTTCTCAGTTGTTTTTTCAACTCCCCCAATCCTGGATTGAGTTGGCACCCAATATAATTTAGAGCAGTAACACAGATGTAATGCAGCACCTTTTGTCCATGGTGTGAGCTCACCCAACAAAACCCTCCCACATACCAACTTGCATTGTGGAGCAGGCAAGAAACCATGGGCATAGGGCCAGTTATGCCAGACTCGTACCACATGATGATTTAATTCTGTCAGAAGCTTCTTTTTTGGCCCTTTGTTAGCCAGACACAATCTATCTAGACTAACCTGAGCTTTCATTTCTGCTGGGTATGAGTTCAGTAATCTTTGTAGGATATGTGCATCCCTGAAGTGACAGATTATTGCTTTTCATGCTTCCCTTCCAGATTTCTGATCCACCCATCAACAGGTATTATTTATACCCAGCCATGGGCTGTATTAGATGCTGAAGTCAGCTCAAAGTACAACTTCTATGTAAAGGCAGAAGACACAGAGGGGAAATACAGCTTGGCTGAGGTATTTATTACGGTGCTAGATGTCAATGATCACCCACCAGAATTCAATGAGAACATCCAGGAAAAGACTATGATCATTGGGTCACCAGTGAAGATAGAGGTGAGACAAGAAACAATATATGGGACTTTATGGGATCAAATGCAAAGAGGTCCCTTTGGTCCCAAAATGTGCATAAATTAGATGGGGGGAGGGGATTTCCCTCTCCCACTATGTCAATTACTTTGCCAGTTTGTGGCAATATGTAACATAGAGATAAACATGCACTCCTAATTTTTGCATATTGTTCAGAAAGAAAAATGTGCCCAAAATGTAAATCTATAAAAATAATAAAGCTAAGCAGCATTATTTGAATAGCTGAGTTAAGGATAAATCACAGTTGCCCATATCCATGAGTTTCCAATGGTGTTAACCTTCAAAACAAGTCAAGCCTGTTGGTAAGATTCTATGTGAATACTTCCATTTGTCCATGCCATTGGGTCAGTTCTGTAAAGAAAGGGTTTTAGTTTCTAGCAGCACAAATTATCTGCTGGTAAAGAAAAAAAAAAGATATATCATCAGACATACATAATCAAGCCTGATGGCAAAACTAGACCTTTACTTAGCCAAAGTAAGTACACAAGTATGACAAAAACTAATACAGTTATATAGTGTGGGGACCTAGCTGACTGTTAGATTATTTTCAGTGAATTGAACATTGAAGAAGAAAACATTTAAAATAATTTTCCCAGTCTGTTTGCAGGAAGACTCGCAGTAAAATAGTCTAAGATGTCCACTGTTACAGACTGGTTGATTGTATTCCCATACATAATTACTTATTTGCATTTTTTTTCTTTTCTCTTTTAATCTCAAACAGAAATTGTCTAGACTGAATTTTTCTCTAGAAAAATTCAACATTGAGAGGGGGAGAAGGAGAAAATGTTACTCTAAGATCACACAGCTATGTCTCAGTATTCTCACAGCAAATCCTTTTCCTGCCCCTATAGTATGTTAATACTTGCTCAGAAACATTGAATACCCTGCTTTCAAGCAAATTCATAAGCCATAACACACTGTTTCCAATAATGCCCCAAAATAGGCTGTAGATCAAGATGCAGAAGAACCCAACAACATTGTGGACTACTCTATTATGCAAGCAGATCCAGCCAATGTATTTGACATAAACCAAAGCACTGGGGAGATAAAGCTGAAGTCATATATCAGATCCCTGGATATCATCCACAACATCACAAAGAACAAAGACTGTATATGGTCCCTGATAGTACAAGCCAAAGACCGGGGTTCCCCTTCATTTAGCACTACTGCAGTACTGAAGATTGATATCACAGAGGAGGTAAGCTGATGTTGGAGAGAAATTGCCCACCTTGAAAGCTGTTTAGGTAGATTTTGTGCAATTTACTAATTAATGGGTTGGCATCAACAAAAGGTTTTCCCAAGCATCAGAGCTTGACATATGGATTCTTGGTGAACCCACAGTTTAGAACCTTCCTAGAGCCCTATTGTATAACCAGATTCTACAGCCATAGATTCATAAGTCCTGAGTGGAGGAGTTATAAAGGTAGGAGAAGGATGCATTTCTTAATTCTTATTCTGACTATGTACATCTGAGAGCAAATTTCATTCTGGTTCCTAAATTCCACATTGCCAATTAATAGAGTCAACAAGGAACTGGATCAAGTCTTTACTCAATGGTGAGAAGGTGGTTTTCAGAGAGGACTGGTGTGTAGGGAGGGAACAAATACTTTGACTAGCTACATTCTCCATTGTGACAGCATCATGGTCCATTGGCTTCAGTAATCTTCACAAGTCTAGTGTGTATGAGAGAGAACACGTGCATACTCAAGAGGGTAGGGAGCTTTAAAACACTTGCTATTTTCACGCTTCACAGTGACTATTGGTGAGTAGTTGTGGATGCATGTTATTTAGGACTGTTGAGCTAATGGTGAGCCCAAGCCAACACAGAGTTCACAAGCTCCAGGAGCAGAGTGGGAACAGAAGTCAGAGCAAGAGGGGGCTGGCTTGTGAATTTGATATAGGGCTTTCATACCAAATACTACAAGGGTTATAATTTGGTCCCAAGGAATTGCAGTAGGAACTGCTTATCTAGGTATCTTTCTCAGTATGCAAGTACCATTTTTGCATGCCCTAGTGCTCTTTTGTATGCACAGGCAGGGTCGACATGTAGGGGGGGTACATGTACCCACACGCACCCCCTGTGCGTGGCAGTGCACCCCCTGCTGTACATGTACCCACATGCACCCCCTGTGCGTGGCAGTGCACCCCCTGCAAAAAGGCACCGCCAACAATGTCGGCGGTGCCTCCGGGCAGTCCCTGATCACCCCTGGCTGCTGCTGACCCTGCCGATGGCGTCTGTGGATGGTCGCTGACCCATGGTCGGTGCTTCCCATCCCACCCCTGCTGCTGACGGTGCTGGTGACATCTGCGGGAACTCCCTGCTCCCTGCCACAGGGCTCCTGCCATTGCCGCTGGGCTTCCACTGTTGCCTCCACACTCCCACTGCCACTGTCTCAGCTGTGCCACCACAGCCGCCAGGGGCACGCGCTGTTCATGTGCACAGACCTAAGTTTTTGGAGCAGAATGAGCCAAAAGAGATTTTGCTGGTATAAAATAAGCACACTCACTTTAGAAAGTTTGTCTTAGCCTTAACTTCTAAAAGGAACTTGCTTCTGAAACACTGAAGTGGTTCAGTGACCAACATGCAGTATTTCTAAGTCAATGGTAGCTTTACATAACACACACCACAGGCTAGAGGCAACTATTCGTTAAGGGCATCCTTTATTCCAACAGGTAAATAAGGTCATAATAACCTATTACCAGATTTTTCCAAGTAGGACATAGTTGTAATTAATGAAAGGATGCCTTTAATGAATCAAAATAGATGGTAAAAATACCATGCTGCAGCTACTGCAACGAATCACAGCTCTCTCAGCTGTATCTTGGTTTTATATATCTGTTCATAAGCTACACATAGACAGGTGCACAACTGTGAGGATATCTATCACCAGAGAAGATTTCACCACCACTGGGTAGTGCTTAGCTTTGACATTAGATTTCTGCAGAAAAGCAAAGTGAAAGAGCCTGCCACTTCCAGCTCTCCCTGCTCTCCTGAGGAATGGTTGATGAGATACCACCCTGAGGGGACTGGCTAAGTACCAGGCTTCAGTGAGGTGACTGTCTACCTGGATATTAGCATAGACCACTGATGAGCAGGGATTAGAAAAAAGGAGCGTATGAAAATATAAGTAGTCAAGTTCTCACCTGTTTATTTTCAGTGCTTGAGGAGAACAAGTTCCCATCTCTTTCTCCCTCCGTCCCCTTGGGGAAGTTGCTTCCCCAAAAACCCACTTCGTCTGCATGTTCTCTGGCTGCTGATCTAAAGGCTCATTGGGACTATAAAGTGGGAACAGCAGGAAAATCTAATGTTTTGCTGAAAAGTAGCCCCAGCTCCTAAGGATAAGAGAATGGAGTGCCCCTTTCCTGCATCCTTCCTTCTTCAAGAGAAGTCTGGCCCCTAGCTAGTTCCTCCATTAGAAAGGGAAAGAGGGAGTACTGCCTCCAGTTTTCCCCTCTCCAGAGAGAGTCCATAGGTGAACAGAACTGGTATTCTTTCCACTCCTGGTACTCCCTAGGGTAGGTATGTGGATGCAGAAGAGGTGGTGAAGGGAGTTAGAAAAACAAGGGCTCTTCCCCTAGGCAGTTCTGAATCCTGCACATGCACTTACACATGCACTTGTTTGATTGTCTATAAACCTGCTTTGAGACATAGACTCCTCATCCTTCACCTTCCCTTTCCCTTTATTGGTACACTACAAAAGCTGAAGTGCCATTCCTCCACATGGTATCAGCAATCATGATCATATATTAAGAACTGAGGAACTCCTTCTCCTAATTTGATCCACTTAAATGACAGCCAACTAGCAAATGGAGAATGTTGAATCTCATCTATTTGGACCACCTCCAAGTAAAATCAACCTCAGTGTTCTGTCCCTCAAGTGCTGCCTTTGTGGACTTTTAGTCCATTATATTGGAACTAAAAGTGGCATACATCAAGGGATATTCACCAAGAGGAGAACAGTTGGGAAAAAACAGACATAATGGTCACAAGCTCCTAGAAGACTGTTTCAGACTCAAGATTAGGAAAAACTTCTTCACAGCTAGGGTGTCCAGACTGTGGAATAAGCTCCCTCCAGAGGGGGTGCAATCACCTACCCTGGAAATCTTCAAGAGGACACTGGATAGTCACCTAGCTGGGGTCACCGGACCCCAGTTGTCTTCCCTGCTCAATGCAGGGGGCTGGACTCGATGACCTTCCGGGTTGCCTTTCAGCCTCACAATCTATGACTCTATGAATATTCTACTGTCTAATTAGCCAAGCTGGACAGGATCTGCAGATTTTATCCCACATAGTTACCTTACATAAACATTTTTACACAGTGCTCAACCACATTTTATATCATTACTTTAAAAATATGATCCCAGTTCCACCTTACCTCTGAGGGATATTCAGTCTCCAGGTCAAAAATCTTTTTCATGGGTTGTGATGAAAGAAAGAGTTCTCAAAATCTATTTATGGCCAATGTTTTTAATCACTTTTCTGTCCCTGAAAGATTCAATCTTATCCACAACCCTTTTGCTTTCACTCATATCCTGTGGAAGATGTTGACATAGTCTAAAAATCTATTCCAATACAACACAATCTTAACCAACAGTACATGAAGGGAAACAGTCTTTTCTAAAGCTTATGGGTATATAGTCACTTAAAGCCTATGTTTTTGCGTTCATCATCTTTTCTTTGTTCACTCTAAGTGCACTATATCTATTAGTTATAAGGCTGCATGTTGGGTGATTTTTTTATTAGTACTTACGGATAAAGGGCTTTTTTGACAGCATAACTAGAGGTTTCCTGCAGTGTTAATCACACTGAGTAATTAAGGAGGCATATTTTTCTGATTAACATTTACTATTACAATTAGTGCAAGACTGTACCCTTCGAGATAGAAGCCTGGCAGCTAAGTTCAGCAGTATAATACATCAAAAAGACCTTTTACTCCTGGAATAATACAGAGATAAAATTTTCCAGAGGCTGTTTAATTTAACAGAGTCTGTTTTTATGGAAATTAGTATTGATTGCTCCTGACACTTTTTTTAATCTCCTATCCTTGCTGAACAGAATAAGAAACAGATGCTGTAGAAACCACTATTTTCTTTATGTTCAAATGCCCTGTTTAAAATGTATTCCCCAGAGTCAAGTTTTTCAAACATAGCTGTTTAAAACTAGGCACCTGTGCCCCATATCGTTTCAGCTGTTCCATTGTTGGACACTTGTGCCACCCATTATTGTCCCAGGGGGTTCTACAAGGATATGGGGGTACCCTTACACATAGGATTGAGGCTTATGCATGCCGAGGCATGTAAAGTTAGTGCTATCTTTTGAGCAATTAAAAGGTTAGGCCATTTATTTAGACCTACCTCTAAATATGCCTCGTTTTAGGCACTCATATTTGAAACCTTCAGCCTAAATCTTTTATTTTATATACAAACTGAGATAAAAATGATAAACTAAATTGGACATTCTCCCCATTTCAGAGTCCACTTCCATGAGTGTTAAGGTAGGTGAGGGACACCAAAGAGTTTTATCCACTATCTTAGAGACCAGTTATTACTTTCCAAGTGTTTGTGCTGTTCCCTTGCATGAATGTGTGACAACACAGTCAGAGGAAAGCAGCTTGCAATGGTGATTCAGATATTAACTCATGTGATTTAACAACACGCATTATGCCCCAGAAAGACCTAACATAAAATGAGACCGCTGCTCCTTGGGGGAAAAAAGTCTGAGTTGCCCATAAACTTGCAGACATCCACATCATACCCAACCCCTGGGTACAAAGATGTAGTGCATTTTAAACAATACTCTACACAAACTAAGAAGTATATATATGGTCACATAAAATATGAAAGGCCAGATGAAAGAGTAGGAGTGTGGCTATCTGGTGCTAAACAGGATATGGGGGAATTAAGAAAATTAGTCAACATTTCATTATGCAAGTAGTCATATTAACATGATCTAGTTCACTCCTGCTCTTTGAAGTCTTAGCTGTGGGAAAGGAGAGAAAAAGGTAGTTATTAGGGCTGTGCGAAGCTTCAGTCCCTGATTTGATTCTGTGGAGACTCAGCCCGATTCAGTGGCCGAATCTCCTAATTTGAATGGAATCAGAGGATCCTTGAAACTCTCTGAATCGAACTGAAACCCTCCAAATCAATTCGGAGAGACTCAGAAAGCTTCTTAGATTCTGACATAGAGACGGCTTTAAA